AAAAAAAAAAAAAAAAAAAAAAAAACACAGGGCGAACTTCGCATTTTCCTATGGGGGCAATGGATCCTTGTTTGCAAGTTCAAAGTCTCAAATAAACCCAATCTACCACTACAAATTCCACATCCGTCTTTTTCCATTGGCCACAGAAGTCATTCGTTGTTGTGTTGCATGTAGATGGATTTTTAACCAATGCAACATATCATCCTCATACCTGATCAATGGCAGCCACAGGAGATATGTCTTGGTTGCAAGGTAAAGTAGTTGGCTGAATGCCCATTTACACGTTTACAACCTCAAGCAGAGTGAATTTAGTTGCTGAAGGGGAGGAGGTATTATAACAAAGTTCAGCACAAGGCAGCCATTAAACCCATTGGAAGGAGTGTTCATGGCAAAACAACATGATTAAGCCTCCAAACTTTGATTAACAACCTCCGTCTAATCATCTGTTTGTGGATGGTATGTTGTACTGTGTCATAACTGAGTGTTCAGATGACAAAAGAGCCCTTTCCAAAATCAGACTGGTAAAGATCTTGTCCATATCAAAGACTATGGATATGACTATGCTACGAGGAATACCAAGTAAGTGAACTACTTTCTCAAATACTTGTGCTACTGTAGTAGCCGAATATGGATATGACTATGCTACAAGGAATACCAAGTACGTGAACTACTTTCTCAACTACTTGTGCCACTGTAGTAGCCGAATATGGATGATGCGAAGGATGAAAACGGTTGTACTTTGACAGTGGGTCCACTACTATCAACATGGAGTCATGATTGTCTGGTTTAGGCCATCCCTACATTACAACCAACCAACATGGTCCATCTGGAAGCCTTAGATGAATCACAATTAATATCAATAACTGAGCTCTTTTCTCGACTAATCTTAAGACCAGGATTAGACTCAAAGAAGAACAAAGGCTGTTAACATTAAGAAAAGACTCTTCTTGACAAAAGCAAAGAACAGTGTCGTTAACAAACTAGAGAGGTCACAAATGGACTCTATCCCTTCCCATCCTAAAAGCTTCCATAAGCCCCTATCCCACCCTAAAGACAATTCTACTAAGAATATCTACAACTAGAAGGAAGAGAAAAGGAGATGGGAGATCACCTTATTTAAAGCCTATCAACACTAAGATCCTACCTCAAAGTTTTCGTTAACCAAAATACAGCATCTCACGTTTCCCATGCAGCTCCACATCCATCCACTTTTTTTTTTCTCAATGAACGTTTGATTTTACAATTCTAAAACTTGATGATTTTACAATACTAAAACTTGATGATTTTACAATACTAAAACTTGATAACTTGCATGGCGAGAACAATAACCATCATAGACACACTAAAAGGCTTCTAGTTAATAGGGCTAAACCAAAGGTATACTTCTTTTTCTAAGAAATGGATGATTTCAAATGGTCAGTTTATATACTTACTTGGCCATCCCATGTAGAAGAAGATTGCCTTCCCACTTCAACTGTTTGTTCGACTACCTAAACATCAAACTTCACATTAGGAAAAATAGTTATAAAAAGAACAAAATACAAAGACAAACAAAATGAAAGGGCATGTGCATTTTAAAAAACTGGTCACCATTTTAGAGCTTTCAATTGCCGGATCAGTATCATCCATTGTCTTCTTCCCAACATTGGTGAGTTCTTGACTTGTTATTGCTGCAGCACAAAAACATACCAATAGAATGTGAAATATATAGAAAAAAAGAGGGTACTTAAAAGTTATGTCCACACCTTTAAACCTCCATTTACAACCTTTCTACCACTTCTAAACACTCACATGTACAACAACAAACTCAAAGAAATCATAGTTCCCGCACGTATGATCATTTTTTTCTTCCTTCTGCTTCCTATAATTCAGCAATATAGAAATTTACCACTCCAAATTAAACCAGATTTATTTGAATGCATCTGGAAGATTGAATTTTGGAACCAAAGCCACTGTTCTTTTGACTTAAATTTCAATTGTTGGGTCCTCAACGCTGGGATTTCAACGCAGACCTATCCTTAAATCTAGTTAATGTAAAATTGGTAACAAAATTCTAATCTCTACAAGTCAAGTTTCTTATATTATAAGATTTATGTCAAGCAAGACATATCAAAACTGAAGAAATATAATTGTAAAAAATGCAGTCATTGTGAACAGATCACATGAATGGGTTGAACGGGAAACAACTAATTAATTATTTGAAGTTAAAAAATGAAAGAGAAAAAGACGAGCTGATGAAAGAATGTAGAATTTCATAAAACTGGAGAATGGAACCATATAATCAATAAAAGCAAAGCAATAGAGCATTCAGACCTATAAGAACAGAACAGATGGAAACGAAGTTCTTATTTACTGTGGTTGGAGATCCTTCCGTGGTATTTCAACTTGAGATTGGTAATATTTTTCCACAAGGAGCTTTAAAACAAAGATACCAAATTCAAACATAGAAAGCCCGACAGATTCCACTGGTAGAAATTCCTCCAAAAAGGAACAGATGAGTATCTAGCTACAAGCTTATGGATTTTACAAGTATATATAGACTTACATGATGTCATCTGAATGTTATCATCAGTTGTAGGTTCATTAATGCCTCTCTCATCAAACATCTCTACCCTCCTATTAGCAGGAGCATTCGTATACCTGTGTTCCAGCTATAAAACTTCAGCAACTCACATTTAAGCAATTCATTTCTCAAATGCTTGAATCACTGAACATGTTAGACCGGGCAACCCAAGTCTAATCACCCAAAAAAGTGTAATTACACAGAGAGAGGCTATATCCCTAAATCCATGAACTTAAAAATAAACAATTGAATATCCACGAGCAAGGATATCAATATTTCTCACTGGAACAAAATACGCAAAGCACACCAAACCTAAAATCACATCAACTTCAAACAAATAGAAGAATGGGACGTCAAAACCCATTCATATGTTCATTCCCTTATATACTACATAGGCATCCAACGATAGAGCCACACGCAAAGTTGAGCATGGTTCATTCTAGTTCAGGCATAATTTAGTAGAAGATAATATTACATTTTTTATTAAACAAGAGACAAACTTTTTATTAAGGGAATGAAAAGAGACTAGTGCTAAAAGATACAAAATCCAATGAAGAATGAAAAAAAAATCAGTAAAATGAAGTAAAAAAAAAAAAAATAGTACAAAGAATAGAAAAAACTATAAACGAGAAATAGAGGCAAGCTAATTAAGACAACTATCCTGTAAAGAACATCCAGCAAAAATCTTTGTGAGGGAACCCCAAGAGAAGACTTTAATCGTGCTGATTCAAATCTGTCAAACCAAGAAAGGTGTTGGTTTTGAAAATTCTTCGAGTCCTCTCCAACCATAGAATGGCTTTGACCACAATAATCCATAGGAGCTTCGCGTTTGGGTTTAGACGGGGACCAATACGTTGAGGAACACTTTCTTCATTATGTTAGAGAAACCCCACTGGACGTTAAATATCTAAAAAATCTTGAACCAACATGAACGAAAGTAAGGGCATTTAAAGAAACTGTGATTCAGAGAACCCCTTGCTGCAAAAGAGCACAAACCAATGGCAATAGACAATTGAGAGGAAGCTTTCTTTGAAAATCACAAAAGAATTAAGGCTACCGTTGAGAAAAATCCACAATAGTATATTAGTTTTCTTCGGACTTTATGACTTCCATAGAGCTGCAAATAGATCTTTGTCCACAGGAGATGATGAAGCCAAATGATACGTCACAGATTTGTCAGAAACCCACCCAAAGATTCAAGAGACCACCTCTTAGCCTCTACATTAGAATTAATTGTTGCTGAAGAAAGGCTAATCATAAGGGCTTGAAAATTAATAAGTTCTTCATCCTTTTGTAATCTTCAAAAAATGGTATTCCATGAAGAACTTGAAGCATCACAGTATGAAGAAACGAACCTTCAAGATTAGAAGAAATAGCAAAGAAGCAAGGAAAACATACCTATAAAGGAGAGTTATCAATTTGGAGATCAAGCCAAACGAATATTTGGCTACCAGTTCCCAAATAAAAGTGCGCAAGGGGACTCCACTTTCTTCTAAATTTTAGAAATACTCACCGAAGGGCTGTGAAAACTTGCACTGTTTACTCCAAATGTATGCAAATTAAAATCATTTGAATCGTGGATGCTGATAATTACCTTTTTCCAGAAGGCATTAGGCTCTTGAATGTCATGAGAAGATGTGTCTATGAACTTCGTGGAAGCCTTGCCTAAAACATGGAGAGGATACCATGTTCGTGGCAATGGATCAGTCGGCCAAATACACTCATTTCCTTTTGTTAAAACATCATTTCCCCTACTTGCACAATTGTTGAACTGTTGTGAAACATATAGTGAGACTGCATGAGAGCCCAACTCCACTATTTCGTATGGGGATAAAATTATAATGAGTTCGTTCTGGCAAGAGGCATTCAATTTGCAAGGAGCAATATTCAAGAAGAGCACAACCTACGTCCCTTAACTTATAGGTACTCTCATTCTTGGAAAGGTGAATGCCAAGCATCTAGAAGTGCTTGGTTTGCTATTTCTTGTATCTACATTCAGTAGGTCTTCCAAGCCTATCTTTCTTCCACCCTGACACCTTCCTTTTCAATGGCTTCCTCTCCTCTAGCTAATTTATACTCCAACCTTCCTTTACAGTGAAAAGAGTTGAAAGGAAGTTGTTAATAATAGATTACCAATATTTCTATTGCTCGGTCATGTCATATAGGTCTGAGTCGGATTTTTTATGTATTGCAATGGATTCAGATTATGTCCCAGGGTTTCAATTATACTTGTTTTTTTTTTTTTTTTTTTTAAATAACACATGTTAGCAAAATACTCATGCAACACTCTCTTAGATAAAATTTAGATGAAGTGACATAGTCTATAAGCCAATTGAACAAATTAAAAATAAATATTCATATACAACTAAGGCTCAACGGCTCAAATGGCCATAAATGGGTAGTAAAATCTTGAAGGTTGAATTTAAGACTAAAATTGAAATGAATCTTATTATCTCTACCGCTAGATTATTACCAGCGAGGATAAATGGCTTTGGCAGCTAGAGAATCTTGGATTTTCACCACAAAATCATCAACAATACTCTTTCAACTATACCACATGGGGATCCTCCACACTTATAGAAGCTGATTTGGACGAGTCTCTTTCCGTAGAAATTAAATTCATTCTATGAGAGTCAGTCTAAAATGCATGAACACAATGAACAGAATACAAAGAAAGCACCGTTGGACCAGCCTCACTCCAAATTACTGTTGTCTTTGCAACTATGACTAAGGGCCTCAAGACCATCTCTTCATACACTGTTTTTTCAAAAAGGATTTGGGTACACTTTCAAACAGCCTCTAGTTAACCCACATTCGACGTAAGAGACTGGTTGCTCACTCTTTTCTTTCAAGAGGCGAAACATGCACATTGTCACTTCGGTGAAAGAAATAGGAGGATCTTCAACAATAATCACTCAACTTTTGAGGGCTTTAGGGATTTAGCTAATTCAAATCCAATGTATAGGTGTAATGTTCGCACCCCTCATAAAGAGTATGGTCTTTCTTCGTGGTTGAATATCCTTTTTGTAATGCACCTTCGGTGGCCATTTCATTCATCAATGAAATACTCCGCTTCTTTCCCAAAAAATAAAAAATAAAGTTCAAAACCAGGTCCACTGACCTGTAATTAAAGCCTAACGAGCGTGTTAGCTAACTGAACGCCTTTTCTTAAATTCCATTGTTAGAATGGGGTCTTCTTCAACCCCTCCACTCGACCAATGAAACAGTTGTTTTGCAAATATAAATTCGACGGGTAAATAAAAAAATAAAAAGAATGGTCTACTACCCACGACGCCACACTTCAAGAAGGTGAGAAGGACCAAACAGAATCAAGGGCTTGAAGGGTCCCAGAACATAAAAAAATAAAAAATAAATTATACAAAACAGCAGCCATCGTCATGGGAAGCGTTTCACACACATACATATACACCAAGGCAAAATTAACAGAAACAGTAAATTAAACAGAGAGGAGGTGGTTAATATACATACGAAAGGACACGAAAACTGTCACGAACTTCGCCATGGATCTGATCCAACCGAGGGCTCCTCTGCACACTGCTAGCCATTCCGCCGGGGGAGCAAACCAAGAGCAAACTTATTGCATTGATACGAAGCTAAGCGAAGGTTTAAGTGAAGGAATCAAAGGTGGCGAAGAAGACGACGGAGCGGTGAAACGCAGGGAGTGGGAAGTGAAGAATTTGGGGGAAGAAATTTGGAGGAACGAAAATGGAGGTAAAATTACAAAGGGCGGTTTTGGTTGAAGTTCGTATGTATGCGGTTAAGAAGCCTCAAATGTCTGGATCATCTCTTCGCATATTATATTCATTATTCTAAAAAAAAATAATAATAATAAAATAAAATAAAATTAGGTTAAATTATTTTTAAAACTAAATTAATAAAAATTATTTAATATTAATTTTATAATAGAAACGGTTAATATTTAAGTTATATTTATTTCCAAAATCATATCGTCTTTCTCTAAAAATTATTCAAATTTTTCGATCCAACCTAGCTTCGATAATGATATGTGCTCGAGGAGGAATTGAAAGAGGAAGAGGTCGGAGAAGGAAAATAAGAGAGAGAGTTTTTTTTTTTATTGATATTATTTTTATTTTAAAAATTTTACGTTAACATGTAAAAATTTCCGCTAATTTTTTAGTATGGTAACACCTGAAAGTCTAAATATTTGAATCCCGGATTAGATTTAACAGTAAATAAACTTAGATTAAAAAAATTATATACAAAATTTGTAATTTAATCAAATTTTGGATCTAATATTGTATACTAAAAAAATATAATTTAAAGGAATTAAATATATATATATATAGTTAAATTAATAAAAATATCAATAAATTTTATATTTTATCTCAAAATTACTCGTTACAAAAACCTAAAAATATTTGTTTTAAAAAAAATTCAAAAAATTTAATTATCATTAATACTTCATAAGTTATCTAAAAAATTAATTTTGTTTTTAAAATATAAGAGTATTATTAAAAAAAAATTAAAATTTTAAAAATATTTTTGTAAAAAAGAATATTTTTGAAATAAAATATAAAAAATTGGGAAGTTTTTGATATTTTTTAATTAAAAAATAAAAATTATTATTTAAGAATGGGGCGGAGATTCTAGAAATAGTTTAGAAGACGGATGAGTTACTGGGCGGTGGGTTCTGCGGTTCTTCCCTCCGTTCCCCGTCTTCTTTCACCAAGCATCCCATCTCGAAATGGCGATTCATCTCCCACCGGTCGTGGATTTCCGGTAACGGTTCACGAATCTCTCATCTCGTCTTCTCATTGTTGTGGTTTAATTTTGACGATTCTGATGAGGTATTTGTCTTGTCTTGATTCTTAAAAAGATTTCGGAGGATTCTTCTTGTGTTACAGAGCCCGATTTCCCCAGCTTCAAATGGCGGTTGGTCATTGCTTATGACGGCACTCGATATGCAGGTTGAGATTTCTGTTTCTTCTCTCTAGTTGTCTATTCAGGCGAATGAATTGAACGATTTTATGTCTGCATTCCAGCTTTATCTTTTTAGGTCGATGTTAATTCTAAATGGATTAAGATATTTGATCAACAAGAATCATTGAAGCTAGACATGATCGATTCGAATCTCAAACAAAGTGTTCTTGGCTTGAGATATTCGATCTACAAGGTAATCCGAATCTTACTCCCCTTGTAGTGATTCCTTATCGTATCATTAATGATAAGATAAGGAATCAATACAAGGGGAATAAGATTCGGATGATAAGATAAGGAATCAATACAAGGGGAATAAGATTCGGATTACCTTGTTGATCGAATATCTCAAGACAAGAACATTGTTTGAGATTCGAATCACTCCACAAGCAAGATCGATCATGTCTAGCTTGAATGATTCTTGTTGATCAAATATCTCAACGCAAGAACACTTGATTGAGATTCGAATCACTCCACAAGCAAGATTGATCATGTCGAGCTTGAATGATTCTACATGCAACCTAAACTACATAGAGTTGCAAAGAAACTTAGCCATTGGCTAAAGAAAAGCACAAATGCTTCTTTTAATATATTTTCCAAGTCTTCCTTACGAATACAACATACATGGCTTTATATAGCCTCAAAATGAAAGCATTGTATGGCTTTATATAGCCTCAAAATGAAAGCATTCCAAAAGTTGTAACATTCATACTTAATGACCATAATTAGCCATTATGTAAATGTAACCTATAAAGTAAATAAAATGTCTTAAAATACAATAACTCTAAATTACTCGTAACCCACCCAAAATTTATAACCATCAAACTTCATTCCTCTTCAATGTGACATGAATTGCAACCTCTTTTGATAATTTTGACATCATTTTCTTCACATCTTCATTGAAGTATATTGTATGAATGATGTCTCTTGGTTCATATCAGTTTCTGTTGGATGTCTTTTTCATCATCGTAATATATTCTAAATGCTAATACCAAAATGCTGTTGGAATATTCAGTATTTTTTTTGTGTTCTTACAGAATGGATGAAGAAATTATTTTTCTTTCTCCTTGGAAATTGTAGAGAATCTCTCAAAGAATCAGTGTTCTTTCTGGAAAATGAACTCATTGTATCCTAGCAGTTACAAAAAACTGTAAAAGGATACGTTGAGATAACGTATATTTAATTAATCACTTAATCAAATAACAAATATTTAATTACAAACAATTTGTAATAACTTTCCATGGTTGTGTTTAGTTTATATTAGCTAGCTCAAAGCTTTGACATGATTTGGGGTCTGGTGTGAAGTGTTGTGCGTTAACTCAGAGAATTTTGCGCTCATTACTTCAATTTTGAGGCTCTCTTGGCCCAAAAGTTTGATAAATAATTTTGAGTTTGTTGATGCTGAATTAGGTTGGCAATATCAGCGGTCACCACCTACTATTCAGTGCCTTGTTGAAGAAGCCTTGACCGGAGCAACAAGGCTTGAGAGGAAGGATCTCCATTTAGTTGGTGCAAGCAGAACAGATACGGGAGTTCATGCCTGGGGTCAGGTCTGATGTGCTTTTATGGAGTAGTCTTAAAACACGTCCTTGAAAAACAATGCTTGCTGTTGCTTACAACAAGTTGCAGGTTTCAGGTGGCTCACTTTATTACACCATTTAACTACGACAGCTTGGACAGAATTCATGCTGCTCTGAATGGTCTTCTTCCTGCGGATATAAGAGTTCGAGAGATGAGTCCTGCTGTGCCTGACTTTCATGCTCGGTTTTCTACATTAAGCAAGGTTTATCACTACAAGATATATAATGACGCCATCTTGGATCCATTTCAGCGTTGCTACACTTACCACTGTGTTTATAAACTCAATTATGCAGCCATGAAAGAGGCTGCAAATTATTTCGTTGGAAAGCATGATTTTTCTGCCTTTGCTAATACAGCGCATAACGATCGAGTGGTAAATCCAGTGAAGGTCATTTTTCGTTTTGACGTCATAGAAATGGTAATGTTTTAACATTATTTAATCCTTGATTTGTTTGGTTAAATTAGAAGGTTAATTCATGAACTTTGAGGTTTGTATCAAACAGGTTTTTAACTTTTAAAAGTGTTCGATAAGCTCTTGAACTTTCAATTTTGTGTCTAATATGAACTTTAAAGAGGGTTTGATATGTTCATAAACTTTCAGTTTTGTGCCTAGTATATCCTTGAATTTTTAATTTTGCATCTACTTGATGTATTTTAGATCTCATACGTCTACTAGATACAAATTAAAAGTTTAGAGTTTCATTAGACATAAAAGTCGAAATTATATTTAATAAATCAATGTTTTATAGAAATTTTGGATATGTCAATTGATTTATGTGACAATTTTAAAATTTAGGGATACTTTTGATATAAGATTGAAAGTTCAAGAATCAATTAGACATTTTCGAAACTTCATGGACTAACTAGAAACATACCTAAGTTTAGGGACTAAACTTGTAATTTACTTTTTCATTTTTTCTATACTGACTGCCTCTCACGAGTCAGGTTTGGCTAGTTATGTATCCTCTTCTTTTGGTCATCTGTGCAAATCCTTCCGTTTTCAGCTTTATACAAAACCCGAGGTTAAATGCTTAGGGTGCAACTGTTTCTTTTCTTCAGGGAGCTCTTATTCAGCTAGAAGTTGAGGGTTCTGGGTTCCTGTATAGACAAGTTCGGAATATGGTAATTATATTTGTTAAACCTATCTTTTTAGACGAAGCCCCTTGTCTGATTTGTTTACTTATGCTGGTCGCTATAACGACCTTACGGTAGAAAGTAAACTCCCTGGAAGCGTAAATTTAAGTTCGTGAACGGTTTCATGCAACTGTAACCATTTTGTCCATTACTTTTGCAGGTTGCCTTGTTGCTTCAAATTGGAAAAGAAGCAATTCCTCCTGACATTGTTCCTAAGATTTTGGCTACTCGAGATCGCAAGGAGCTTGCCAAGTATACGACGTGCATTCCTCCTCAGGGTCTCTGTCTTGTGAGAATTAATTATAAAGAGGACCATTTAAAGCTTCCATCTGATTGCCCTGGGACTAGTTTTGGCAGGAGTCATAGTGTGAGTAAATGTAAGCTCCCTTTTTATTGAACTAATGACGGCTCTGTTCTTGCACTTCTGCCATGAGAATAATCTGGGTTGCAGGGTGTCCAACAGCTTAGGAGGCTGAGATATTAGATAAGCAGTGTAGTTTAAGTAAACAAAATTTTGGATTAGTTGGTCTTTATTAATTTATGAATTAGAATTCTAGAGTGTGTTAGTTTGTTATTTGTCCATTTTTTCTTAGGCTAGAAGTGGGCTTTTTTAGTGTTGTATTGGGACTTTTGGAGCTTTGCACATTATTATTGCAAAACGTGGTATTTTAGAGGGTTTCTCTCAATTATGGAGAATGGAAGGTTTCTTCTACATTTTTTTTTTTACTCCCTTTGGGTAGATTTGGAATTTAGATGCGATTTGGTGCGATATGAGGATGAATTTACCTATTGAAAGGCATATAATCAATGATGATATCTATACGAATAGGACAATAGTATAGAAAAAGAATGTGTTAGACACGTGTACATGTATACAAATTCATACATGCTTTGTAGATACGTAAAACTATATATTCTCTCGTCAGCTTTACCTCGTTTAAGAACTTACTTTTTTTTTAGCATTTGTTTTTCCGAATAGCAAAATCTTTCGAGTAGTATAAAAGGATGACGTTGGTGGAGGTAGTTGACAAACCGAATAGCTAAAATCCTTTAAGAGGTCTTTCAAGTACTATAAAAGGATGTCGTTGGTGGAGGTGGCAAACCGAATAGTTTTAAGTGGTGTAGAAAGGAAGCCATCGCTAAATAAATCTTTTAGGTTGACATCATGTCGAAATGTGAATTAGATTTAAAGTAGAATACTTCAACAAAGTTGTTCAAAAGAATATGTGAACAGAAGGATAACAAATTTTCTAAAATACCATTAAAAGAGTTTCATGAACAAATTCTCTTTAAAAAGAACAAAGAAAAAAAGAAAAAAGAAGAGCCAGTTTTGCTTGATGTAATGTGTTCATATTGCCATTTCCAACAGTCAACCGAGGATACTCGGTTATCCGATTAAGACATATACTCTCAAGTTCGAACTATCACGACTCAGAGTAAATAAAATAAAGAATAGAAGTGGCAACATTGGTCTAACAGGACACGAAAACGAAAACGAAAACGAAAACGAAATCGAAACATGGGCTCTTTCAGTTCTCATAGAAACGGAGCTCTACCATAAATTCTCTTTGCTTTGGTGAATACCAAGCGATGGCTTTAGCTGAACCAAGGGCGTACAACGCATATTCCAACGCAAATGTAGGCTCCTCCACTTGTAAACTCCCCCATCCTGCTTTACTCAAATCTATAGCAACTCCTGAATCTGCTCTAAAGCTAACAGGTCCAGCAATCTGCAACCAATGTTTCACGAAAACACGAAAACATCCCCCGAATCAGTGGCCTTATACAAAGTTGTAAAGAAGGTTTTTCCACGAGTTTTTGCCACTGAATTCGATCGAAACATTTATCATCATTTTCCTTTCAAACTTCTCCAAAATCATGGAAAAGTTCAATCAAGTGCGAAGATCCTTTATTATTTATTACGGGTTCGACTCAGGAGACAATTTCATAAATAACTTCCGAAACTCATGAAACCAGAACTTCACAGATCCAAAAAGCAGAAGAGATGATCATACGAGGAAGTACATGTGCTAGCAAGATTTGTTTTATTTTCTTTTCAAGTTTTTTATTGTTGATTTGGACCAGACTCAGCAGCTGAATGAAGAACGAACATACGTACCTGCTGCTGAAAGGAAAATCTCGCATTCGGCAAGGTCGCTTTCACGGATTCGGTTCTTGGGTGCTGGGAATTGGAAAGATCCTCTATCAAGAGCATGGCTCCAGAAAGGAATTTGGAGCCAGAATGGAAATCGAAACGTCCAGAAAAACGGGTAAGATCCAGAAAGTTCCTTTGAAACATCCCATACTGAGCTGAAAAAGAAATGGAAGCAAATACATCTGCAAAAACAGTAGATCTTATTCGAGAAGTCTGCATGTAAAGTCCTCTAAACTCCTGAAGACTGCCTTCTGCTGCCGATCCAGCCGAAATGTCTCCAAAGTAGCTAGTAGCAACAGCACCTTTTAAGATCAATAGAAATGGTATGCAAAAATTAGTAGAAATTGCACAATAATAATTTTCCAAGGGATTGCTTGCAGTTTCATACAATCTGCTAAACTGCATACCAACAGAAGTATCCTAAACTAAATTCCTTCGTTTCCTTGGTGCAAAAATGAAGAATTTTGAACATGAATTAAGGGTCCAACTATGGTGGTTTCTGAGTTTGTCAAATCCTTGAATTTCAATGGCCAAGTTGGCAATTGCAAGTTAAAATGAGGTCGCAGCTACAATATGGTCCCTTAAATTTCACAACATTTTGCTCCTAATATTATAAAAGTTCCAATTTATCCTCAATATATTGATGAACTTCAAGAAGTCCCTACTCATTAACGTGATTGAAATCAACTAAATATATGGTCTCATCACATTCGAAGTATTGTATATGAACATCAACACCTAAATCAAAGAGATTAAACCTTAAACCACGAGGCTGGTGAGATTTCATTTATTTGTTTATTCGATTTCCTAGCCTTGGAGTTGAATTAAGACTTCAATAAAATTTGACACAGAATTAAAACATGGCAAAAAACTTGGGGGATAAATCCATAATCAGAAGTTTCATTAAAGGAAACCAGTTTGGATTCATACCAATGATCCCTGACAATGAAACGTGAGGATTTGCTAGGAAAATGTCATATGGTTGCACCCTCTTCAACTTCTTGGCGTTGCTTCTCCAAATTTCCAAGTTCTTCTTTAAGGCAAACGCAGCCTTGGCTGATAAACCAGGAAGTAAACAGAAAGGAGCCATACAGGTTTGTTCACTTCCAGATTGTGAGGGAGACCCAGCATTGTGGTGCATAGACAAGTGATAACTCAGACCCGAGTCGGTATCCGCAGACCCTAGATCAATGACTAACGAAGAAGGCACATCCCAATATTTACCAGATTTGTCTACAAAAAGCCCTGGAGAAAGCGCCTCCATTGTTAGATCATGATGTAAGAACTGCAACGGGATGAATAAGAATCTACATCAAACAATGAACAAGCAGCTAACAGAATTAACAAATTCAATTAGAGGCCAGGGATACACATGCCTTGTGGTGGAGTACTGCTTTTGTTCTAAGTATGTCACTGTCACCATATCCATCAAAGCTGATCAACAGGGCATCATCAGGAGTTAACAAGATATCAGAAGAAATACCAAACGCATACAAAGATCGGTCGCGGAGGTGCCTTCCAATGCCTTGCAGCAATGAGGAAATCGACTGACCCATCTCTCCAAAACCAGATTTCTTAAGAGAGGACACGAATTTCTGCACATTGAACTGACCTAAAAGAGTAGCGGACCTGCAGTGCTTTTAAGCCAGATTTGATGGAGAATCAATACAAATGAGTGCATGAACATAGGAAATGAGAAAAATCCAAGAACAAAATAGAGAGGATGGAGTTACCCAGAGTCCGAAAAGGGGATGGAGAAGACGCGCTGGAGAGAGAAGCCATGGGAAGGGGTGAAAGAAGGAACAAAAGGAGCAGCCATGAACTGCTGCATGAAGTCGATCTGCTTGGCCCTGGAAAGCCGAACACCTCTGGACAATCCCAAGGGAAGTAGCTGCAAATCAGTAGGAACAGGGGAGGCCGAGCCATCGAGTGTTCTAGGCGTTGAAACATCCAAATCCCAAAAGCTTTGGCCCTCCATAGTCCATCTTAGCTTCTTCATCATCCTGAACACCTTCACAAAGAACACAACCCTAAACCCTAAAACTCAAAATTCAAATTCAAATCCAAATCTCCACCGATCGGAACGCTTACAGGTTCTGATTCTGAAGCAATTCCGCCACACCTTATCCTCCTCCTCCTCTACTCATTTCGGGATTCCAATTCCAAATGACTCGAACATTGAAATCATATTTTAGGTTAAATAAGACGTTTGGGGAAAGTTTCAAATTTTGTCTATTTTATTTTTTAATATTCAAAATTAAGAATTTAGTACTTTTTAAATTTACGAATTTATAAATTTATGATTCTATTAAATAAAGGTCAATTAAATTTTAATTTATTCAACCCAAAAATAAAAATTTAGAAATTTATTGAATATTTTTAAAAATTAATTTTACTATTCTTGTTCACCTCTCATCTAAAATATGATTTATTAAATTAATTATTATTATATCATCGTCATTTTATTTTTTTAATGAACATGATATTAGAAAGGGTATTACTGTCTTTCAACATGAAATTTTCAAAACTTTAAATAAACTTTTCAAAGTATTTTCTATACCAGTTTTTTCATTATTATTATTATCCAATATAGATGACTGGGCATGAAATCGTGGTATAGTTTAAAAAAAAAAACAATTTTTGCTCTTAGAACTGTCTTCTCGGGCTTTACGCAATCAATCGGATCATATAGATATCCCTTCAACACAACATAGGTCATCGAAAGGCAGAATCTTTGTTGTGTTGAAGGGATATCTATATGATCCGATTGATTGCGTAAAGCCCGAGAAGACAGTTCTAAGAGTGCATAACCGCATGGATAAGCTCACACTAACCCGTCAATTTTGGATCCAATTCAGAATTTTCCTTGGGAGGTATCGGGATGAAATTGGAATGTAAAAGTTATTAAATTGTATCAATTTTTACCGTAAACTTTTAATTTCATTAAATTTAGAACTTACCTAATAGTATTAATTTTTACTCTACTAATTTCTACACGCTAGTTAATTAACTCACATTTAGCAACAAATAAAATAAAATTAAAATATATATATATCCTCATAGAACACACGTATTAACAACCATTACAAAACTTTGCCAAAATTAAAAATATTAATGAAAAGATCTTGAAAATATTACTATACTCAAAATACTTTATTTTGTTTAGAGAATACAAAGGCTAAATGGTCAAACTCATTGTACGGAAAAGAGTCTAATTCGGAGTAGAATTCATACAACAATCACAATGGATGAAAAGAGGAAGAAGGATGGGATGGAGGGGGAAATAAATGGAGAAATAAGAGAGAGAAAAAAAAAGAAAAGAAAAAAAATATATTGTTGAATGAAAGTATCCTAGGTCGATTAATTTAGGGAATGATCATGGGTTTATAATTAAAAAATACACTCTCTATTGGTACGAGACCTTTTGGGGAAGCTCAAAGCAAAGCCATGAGAGCTTATACTCAAAGTGGACAATATCATACCATTGTGGAGAGTTGTGTTCGTCTAACATAATATCAGAGTCATCCCCTAAACTTAACCATGCCAATAGATTGACAAATCCTCAAATGTCAAACAAAGTATTATGAGCCTCGAAGGCATAGTCAAAAAGTGACTAGAGAAGACTCCAAAGGAGTCGAGCCTCGATTAAGGGGAGGCATACATTGTTCGAGGGGAGGTGTTGGATGAAAGTGTCCCACATCGGTGTTAATTTAGGGAATGGTCATGGTTTTATAATTAAAGAATACGCTCTCCATTGGTATGAGACCTTTTGGAGAAGCCCAAAGCAAAACCATGAGAGCTTATGCTCAAAGTGAACAATATCAAACCATTGTGGAGGGTCGTGTTCGTCTAACATGGTATCAGAGCCACCCTAAACTTAACCATGCCAATAGATTGACAAATCCTCAAATGTCAAACAAAGTATTGTGAGCCTCGAAGGCATAATAAAAAAGTGACTAGAGAAGACTCCAAAGGAGTCGAGCCTCAATTAAGGGGAGGCATACATTGTTCGAGGAGAGGTGTTGGATGAAAGTGTTCCACATCGGTTAGTTTAGAGAACTGTCATGGATTTATAATTAAAGAATACACTCTCTATTAGTATGAGGCCTTTTAAGGAAGTCCAAAGCAAAGCCATGAGAGCTTATGCTCAAAGTGGACAATATCATACCATTGTGGAGAGTTGTGTTCGTCTAACAAATGATAACACATGATATGACTTTATTTATTTATCATTTTGAAATTGGTTTAGACAATTGAGATTTGTCCAGAAAATGCAAATCTACACCACAGGCAAAATGATGTCCTTCTGCAGTTATAAGAGACACTCTAATCCTGAACGCATGATTCACATACCTGAACTAATCAGCACAATATTCTCCGTTCTTTTATTGAACCTTCCACCAACTGCAGCACTTTATTTAGAGAAAGGACTCATAATATAAGCCACCACTTGTTCACTTGGTCCTTAACTATCAGCAGTTGTTTCATCATGCGAGCAGTAGAATGAATATGAATCATGAGCCAATGTCTGCAAAAAAAAAAATGTCATTCTCAAATACTATGCGAAGAGAAAATATCATACTATTTAAGAGAATGATTAAGATAAAATATCGACCTGTTCTTGTGAGCGGAAATACGTGAATGGTGTGTAGTGTAAGAAGTTCGAAACCCTCGAAGTGTATATATCCGCATACCTGCAATTGTTTGGAAAGAACACCATTGCCAATATTATGATGACCTAAGATTTTATTCCTGTAAATTGAGAACAGAAGGGGAAATAACATACTTCTCAATCTGTCGCATCAAATGGCTTTTATCCCATAGGCCTGCACGGGAGAGAAAACCCCACCTAGGAAGAACATTAAGAGTAGGTTAAACCTAAGTTCCAAAAAAGCCAACCAGGTAACGTATTGTTCTGCTACCCCGAGCATAGCTAAAACGATTACTCACAGTCGAGATGAGAACAAGAATGCAGCAGCAAGAAGACAAGTGCCAATCCTATGTTATTTTTAGTCTAAACTTGAATTCAAGCCATATTGGCACTTTCCATTTTATTCAACCTTCATATTCACATGATGCTGACTCTTTTCCTACTTCATGTTCTCTAGAAAATCTGTATTCATGTTGTAATTAAGGAAATTCACGTTCTTATCTGAAAAAGGGTTTTAATGATCTTCGAGTACGGTTCAACAACTATCCCATTCCCCTTTGACAGATGGAGGACAAAAGAAAAAAAAAAATCAGCACTGCAGTAGGAAAACAAATGAACATGGATATTCTTTTCAAAATGATAGTATATCCTTCTTCGCTGTACTTTATTATGGAATCTTACCTTTTGTTGAATAGATCTCCATCTGCTTCTAGCATTGGAGCAATTTTCTGGTCTAATCTTTGCATGACAATGAGCAGCTTTTGCATGCTCTCAGTGAGCTCCTCATCATCCATGTTAGTCGCTGCAAGGGTCTGGCATACGCAAAATAATCGATCATCATTTATGTTAGTCGCTGCAAGGGTCTGGTATAGCCATGTTCCAACTATCCTCCCCCATTTACTCTCTACATCCTTGACCAAATATTACAAATAATAACAAAGAGATCTGTGTGCCATAGACAACATCTTCTATTGCGAAGATAAGGGTAAATCAAGCACCTCCTTGGTCATATTCCAACCACCGCTACTCAAAGTCAAACTAAGGCCAAAAGTATAAAAAGAATCTACCCAAAGTTTTCATAGCAAAGTGATATCTCCAAAGGAAATCTCCTTATAACTTCATAGGACGGTATAGAAGAACCAAAGAACAAAAGCTTACTTGAGCAGGACGACCTTGACTACGCCTTTGCAAAGCAAGCCGAAGTTGATTGAACAGATCCCCCACAACTTCCTTTTGATTTATAAGCTCAATGAGAGATGCTCGATGACCACGACTACGAATCAAAGCACTATACTGCACAATCAAATATTATAATATAAATATCAGAATTCAACAATAATCTGGCTAGAAAAGCATGAACAGGAAAATCATTGATTGATCCAGATGTGATTTGGACCAAAACTTTGAACTTCCAATAAAAAGCACTACCCTAAATAACTTAAATAAGAACCCAATTCCGGTTAGAATTCTACTTATTTTTAATGAGTTGTAAATGACACTTATGCTTATTATCTTCCATTTCTTCCTTCATTTTTCAAGATAAGAAAGATGCTAAAGTTTTGGAAGCTCTATTCTTCCGGTTTATTCTCAGTTCAATATTTAAGCTCTGTTCATATTTCTGCATCATTGCAACCAGACTTTATATAAACATTTTGGAAGTTGAATATAAAAGCCCTAAGAAAAGCAGCATACTTACGTAGCCATTATTCTACAAGGGGAAAAACACTTCATAGAATAATGGCTTTTACTACAATTTTTGGTTTTAGGGAATGAAGTTTCACAACCATTTTTAGAAACTTCTCGGTAGTTTATTTTGATGATATATGGGTTTATAGCACTAATCTTGAAGAACATGCCACACATTTTTGCGTACCTTAGAACTAATTCTCTATATATTAACTTCTAAAAAATATATTTTTCATGGTATCTAGGCTTATTTTTCAAGAATTTGTTAGTAATGAATTGTTTTTCATGGTATCCAGGTCTATTTTTCAAGGATTTGTTATTAATGGACATGGCAATGAAGTCGATCACTTAAAAACAAAAGTTATTGCCTTTTCAAGGATTTGTTATTAATGGACATGGCAATGAAGTCGATCACTTAAAAACAAAAGTTATTGCCGATTAGCCCACCACTAATAATGTTAAGTCACATGTATATAGATTTAGTTTTCAAGGATTTGTTATTAATGGACATGGCAATGAAGTCGATCACTTAAAAACAAAAGTTATTGCCTTTTCAAGGATTTGTTATTAATGGACATGGCAATGAAGTCGATCACTTAAAAACAAAAGTTATTGCCGATTAGCCCACCACTAATAATGTTAAGTCACATGTATATAGATTTAGTTTTCAAGGATTTGTTATTAATGGACATGGCAATGAAGTCGATCACTTAAAAACAAAAGTTATTGCCTTTTCAAGGATTTGTTATTAATGGACATGGCAATGAAGTCGATCACTTAAAAACAAAAGTTATTGCCGATTAGCCCACCACTAATAATGTTAAGTCACATGTATATAGATTTAGTTTTCAAGGATTTTTTATTAATGAAGATAGCAACTACGTAGATCACATAAAAACAAAAACTATTGCTGATTAGCTCACCGCTTATAATGTTAAAAGAAACCTGTTCAGCGGTGGCTAGATTCTTTTTCATTGAAGGTTTATAACAAATTTTAACACCATAGCGCGCCCAATAATTGAATGCCCTAGAAAAAGAAGATTTAAATTGGGAAAAGCTTGACAAAAGAGCTTCCAGGTTTAAAATAAATTAGCCACATCACCATTGCTTAGTTTTGAGAAATTATTTTTGGTTGTGATAGACATATTGGGAACATGAATTAGGGTGTTTAAAGTTGAGATAATAAGTGGTGAAGACGCTACTTTAAAATCAAGATATATAAGGAATAGGACCCAGGGTCTTTCAACTCTTGAGTGGTGTAGCCTTCTACCTTCCAAGGTCAAATGAGGAGGTCAAATGAGAGTCCTCTAGACAAATGTGGTGACAACGCTTCTATGTAAACTGTGGTTTGAAAAATAAACAAGAGAACTTTTCAAGGGAAGGAGGCTAGTTAAAATGTCTTTTGAGATCGTTGGAATCCAAGCTTTTACTTGGTTCTCCCTATCGAAATATTTTTGTAATTTATACTTTTTCTGTTATTTATGCCAACCTAGAAGCTTTTCTGCAATCCTCTTGGCTTGGTGAGGATAATCCATCTCCATCTTTCTTGCACTCCTTTGGGAATGCAAGTATTAGTTTCCTATATGTTGAATTTCCTTTTACATTCTTTGTAATATTGATGGTGTATATATTCCTAATTTATATTAGTAATATTCCTTTTCTTATAGGTTGATGGTCTTTCTTCTACATAAGATGACCTTGTATTGTTTTAGATATGTAAGAAGAAATACAATAACATTATTCTTCTTTCCTGAATTCAAGTTGGTATCAAAGCCACAAAATTATCAATCTCCAACGGTCTCTAGAAACTCTAGCCACACTCTAAAACCCCAGCCACCACTACCCATTGTTGGAACCCAAGTGGCCACTCACCTCTAACAAGTCTTTTTGGTAGCAAGCACTAGATCATCATACAGCACTTAAGATATATGAATTAATAAGATACTTGAAGAATTGAAATTGTCTAAACAAACGCCCATATGGGTCTATTGTGATAACAAGGCTGCCGTCGCCATAATTCATAATCCAGGCCTACTTGATAGGACAAAGCATATTAAAGTTGACAAACATTTCATAAAAGAGAAAATTGATGCAAGTGTTTATATGCATACCTTATCTTTCGACGATAGATCAAACAATTGATTTGTTAGCTAAAAGTCTTTAAAAAGACAATTTGATAAACTTATCAAATTGAAGGGAGTGTTGGATCTCATGTTATATCTTTTCTAATATTGATTGTATATTATGCATATATTCCTTATTAATATTTGTAATGTTCCTTTCTTTACTGGCTGATGGTCATTTTTCTCTATAAGAGGATCTTGTATTTGTTTTAGATGCGTAAGAAGAAATACAATATTATTATTATTCTTCCCTAAATTCAAGTTTGCGTAAAGAAGATGGAAAAGAACAGTTTAGAGAGTATTCAATAGTTTCTGCACATACCTCTTCTTCCAATTCTCGTAGAATTAATGCTGTTCTCCAGCGCAGGTGTACTTTAGATTGGCTTACATCGGTATAAATGTGATCACCTACATACAATATCTCATCGCCATGAATGTTTAAAGAGTTCTCAATCATTTGTGCGCTACCACCAGAGTACAAGCCCCCTGCATATAAAGCTGATCAATTAAACACCGGTATTAAAGCATAAGCAAGAACACACCATAAAGACGTTTACATAACCTGGCAATTAAAATTACTAACTTTTTCATTATAGTAGTGAAAAGTTACAAAGTGCAAAACGCCTTTCTTAAGAGTTTGGTAACAATCCCTAAAACAAGAAATAAGCCCGATATCCTAGAAAGTAGAAAAAAAAATTATAGCATAGAAAGGTCTCCCTTCAATGTTTTGGTAGAGCAAAAATGAACAGTATAGAGAATTATACTCCTTGATGAATTATTAAGGGTTCCATGAGTTTTCTTTTCCCATTTTTCTTGCCTTTGGTTTTTTTGCAAACAGAGTTGGATGATATATCTTCCCTTTTGTCCATGTCTTGCACCCTTATAACAGTCCAAGCCACCCGCTAGTAGATATTATCCACTTTGGTCCATTACCTATCGCCGTTAATCTCACGGTTTTAAAACGCGTCTATTAGGGAGAGGTTTCCACACCCTTATAAGGAATGTTTCGTTCCACTCTCCAACCGATGTGGGATCAATCAACTCTCCTTGGGGGCCCACGTCCTCGCTGGCACACCGCCCGGTGCCTGCCTCTAGATACTATTTGTAACAACTCAAGCCCACCGCTAACAGATATTGCTTGCTTTGGCCCATTACGTATCGTCATTAGCCTCACAGTCGTAAAATGCGTCTGCTAGAGAGAGGTTTCCACACCCTCATAAGGAATGTTTTGTTCCCCTCTCCAACCGATGTGGAATCTAACAATAAAAAATTTGGACATTTCTCGATTCGTGCGTGTCATCCTTGCGCAGAGGGGCCATACTAATCTTCTCTGTATCGTTCCAATTTTATTGGATGTCCCCGATTTGTTCTATAGGTTGTACAACTGTGTCCTTGAGTTCTAAGGATACAAGAACCATAATTGGGTGGATGAACCACTGCTATGTGTCTAGAGCATGATTAACAGTCCAATGATCCTTCGAATATGCGGCAAAGGATCGCTCTCGGCAAGGCTTGTCCTGGCTGGGATGGTTGCATGGCAATCGAACAGATTAACCAAAATTTTTTATTGTTAGATCTCACATTGGTTGGAGAGAGGAACGAAGCATTCCTTATAAGGGTGTGAAAATATCTCCCTAGTAGACGCGTTTTAAAACCGTGAGGTTAACGGCGATACGTAATGGGTCAAAGCAGACAATATCTTTTAGCGGTGGGCTTGGGTTGTTACAAATGGTATTAGAGCCAAACATCGGGCGGTGTGCCAGGGAGGACGTGGGCCCCCAAGGAGGGTAGATTGTGAGATCCCACATCGGTTGGAGAGTGGAATGAAACATTCCTTATAAGGGTGTGAAAACCTCTCCCTAAAATACGCGTATTAAAATCGTGAGGTTGACGACGATACATAACGGGCTGAAACAGACGATATCTACTAGCAGTGGGCTTGGCTGTTATAAATAGTATCAGAGTTAGACACCGGGTGGTGTGCCAGTGAGGACGATGGCCCCCTCGATGGCCCCCAAGGGGGTGGATTGTTAGATCCTACATCGGTCGGAGAGGGGAACGAAGCATTCCTTATAAGGGTACGGAAACCTCTCCTTAGCAGACGTGTTCTAAAACCGTAAGGATGACGACGATATGTAACGAGCTAAAGCAGACAATATCTGCTAGCGGTGGAATTGGACTGTTACAAATGGTATCAAAGCCAGACACCAGGCAAGCGTGGTCGCTGGCCCCCAAGGGGGGTGGATTGTTAAATCCCACATCGGTTGGAGATGAGAACGAAGCATTTCTTATAAGGGTGTGGAAATCTCTCCCTAGCGTATGATTTAAAATCGTGAGGCTAACGGCGATACGTAATGGCAAAGCGGATAATATCTGTCAGCAGTTGGCTTGGACGTTACACCCCTGGTTTGTTCCTTTAGTTTTTCCTTCCCTTGCTTATCCACTTAGCTTAGCGTTTTCCAACATCAATCCTCACAAATTCATTTGTAATTCTTCTAGAATTTCTTAGGATTGGGTAATTCTACCATAGGAAGAATGTCGAATTGAAAGTCGAGAGAAACCACATGAAGCTAGTTGGGGTTGGTTCCTTGCTCACCCACATCCAAGTTCTTGGATACAACCAGAGGCAGAGGTTCAAGATTTGCTCTAATACCAAATCTTGGAGAGAAAAAGCCTAATGGCATTAATTAATTCTCAAATCAAAAGTGTATAAGAGGGCAGTCACATGTAGGCTAGGCTTAATGGATAATTGGCTAAAATTACATAGGTTATTTGAATTAACCTATGGTTACGAATCCCATCCTAAGAAACTAAAAGATAGTACAGAAGCACTAAGAGGCAAGACTAGCCCTATTGAAGTTGAAGCATGGTATTACTTGAGTCATTCTCCAAAAGCACTCTAAATTAAAATGCTGTTTTCTGCAGCCTTTTGACGTACCAAAACTTAGAGTTAATGAAGATCAAAAGACAACAAATTCAGCCTCCTCCAAAATACTGCTAGACTCAATCATCTGAGATCCCAAAGATACATTCCAACATCCAAAAACAAAAGAATTAGGCATTAGTAGAAAACACCCTGTAAAGTAGTTCCATTTTGGAAAAGAAAGAAACCTCTATAAACCTCCACAGCCTAGAAATTTTATCGAATGGTATCTCAAACAATCAAGTATCTTGCTTTCTGAACGAAAATCAAAAGATTCAAACCATAAATGCTAAACACCCTACAACACCAAAGGAGAAGAATGAAGGCCAAAATTTCCAACTCCCTTTTGGTAGAAAAGTACCATTGTTTCATTTCATACCCCCATTATTCAAGCCACCTTAAACTAAAGATTAAGAAACTAAGATCCAGCTAATTCAATGCTTCAACTTTTCCAACATCATTGCCCTTCTGGAGAAAATTTCACACTCCTTCCTCAATTTGAATATTAAAACAAAAAAGCGTTCCAGAGGTCAGAGTTGGCAAGAAAACCATCTTTAAATGAAACCAAAAATCAATCCAAGAATCCATATATAAAAGCTGATCAATCCCAATTCAAGGCGATACCGAGAAGAATGTCATTGAAGCATAAAAACCAGAACCTTATTGAGCCTTGAAATCCATATCTCTCGTTTGGAACAATTTCTGAAAGAGTGAAGGTTTTCTTGTGGATTTCTCATTTGACAGGATGAATACTTGAACAGAATTCAAAGAATACATAGCTTTCCCCAAGTTTCGTGTGTCCTTTGCAAAGGCAGTGAGGAAACATTGATGCATCTTTTGTTTTTCTGTCTATTTGCGACTGGTTGTTGGGAAAGATTGGTTAGTTTATTTAGCCCCCGGTGATGCTGGCATGGCAAAGCTTTGGATGCACTCCTCCAACTCATCGGTGGAACTTCTTTTTAAGGATCAAGCCAAGATCTTTTGGTCCAATTAATTCATTAATCTAACCAAAAACTTAAGCTTATGGGTTGCAAAAATTTATTACATCAATAATTTAACACTCTCCCTAACTTGTGTACTAAAAAATTTAAGGTCCAACAAGTGAAAATCAATATTAATCGATGAGTAAATGACATTATGGGAATTTGAACACAGGACCTCCTACTCTAATACCATGTTAAATCATTAATCAACCCAAAATTTTAAGTTATTGGATTACAGTAAATTCAATTATACCAATACTTCAAAAGGTTGATGTGACTCCTTTGGAGGCTTCGGTTCGAGAGAAATTCTAGAGTCTATCATAATCAAGAATCCAATGCGGAGGTATGGGTTTGGTTATTTTATTTGCTTCTACATAGTCTACTTCTACTTTGATTTGTAATTATAGCCCAAGTCAAATTTAAATCCGTTGGCCTCTGTTTTTTGTAACTCTTTTGAATTGCCGGTTGGGATATATTATCTCCCCTTCTTTTGTCAATCCCTTTTGATGATGGACGTACAGTTTTTTATAAAATCAAAATTAAAATCGTATATATTAAAAAAACTGGAAAAAAGCTGTAGGATAGGGACTAAAGCACATTAATTACCTTCAACAGCCTTGAAGCATGGACGCATGAGACCCTCACCAGTCACCACCTCGTACAATGGATGAGACGTTTGGAAAAATTCTGGCTTTCTTGCCGAGACTATTACCTATAAGTAAATCGTCAGCTTTTTTTTCCTTTAACAAAAAGGAAACAAAAAAATCATTCCTAAAATGAAGAATTACAACAGGAGTTATGAGTATCCTTCATTGGAAGAACACAACTAGTCCAACAAAAACCAAAATTCATAATAACAACTCAAAATCCATTTTGAAAACCATACAAGATTTCTTCCTAGACCTAATTTTTCTAAACAAGAAATAAATTTTTCGTTTAGATATGAAAAAAGAAATCAGTTCCAGGGTATTAATTCTCAAAGGAAGTGAAAAGAAGAAGCAACACAATCAATAAAGTGAAATTCCTCAAGAATTACAAAAGCCAAAATAAAGAAACAAAATTATCCAAGAAGTAGAACTACAAAGACCGAAGAGCCACTAAAGCTATCCATCGAACCACAAAAACAGCACCTAACCCACTATCCAGAGGGCAAAACTTCCATATAGAGAACCAGGAAGATTCTAGAAATAGAAATTACTCCAACAACCTGTACATAATTACAGCCAAATACCAAGGAAGACATTGCAGAAGAGCTTGATAAGAAAAACAAGTGCACGGCAATACTTTAGAGAAGCAAGAATGGGGGATCACCCTCATGTCTTAAACAAACTATCAAGAGCACCAAAAAATATCAAAATACGAACAAATGAACTAAAACTCAACTTACAATATCAAATAGATCTCGCCATCCCATATCATTTGGAAGAAATCTATTAAAAGAATGCTGCATCATTTTATCCGTGTAATGATAATCTGAGTTGGTAATAAGCAAAAGCTTTTTTCCAGCCTGTTGCACATTTTCTCAAGCAATGAATACAAAATCATGACAGCAAATAGAATAACCAATTATCACTTAAGGGTTATACCTCTTTTTGATCCAGTAGAGTCAATGGTAGTACAGGGTCAGGCTCGACAAATAATTCAGGATTAGACATTATCTCACTCTGTGAATTTCAAGAATCAGTATATGGTAATGAAATGTAACCAGCAACAATTAAAACATTTGGTTCAACGAGTATCTACCTTAAGCTGACCCTCGACGTGTGCCCTGAATAGTGCTTTCCCAACAGCCTGTGACCCAAGATTAAACTTAAAATCTGCACGAACAATAACATTGAGTTTTGTGAAAGATGTAGCGTAGAAGCATTATACCTTGTAAAGTCCTTTATAATCAAGTGGACCAACTGCTGCTTCTATGGCTCCATCGTCCAATCTGTCTACCATCTGAGAGAACTCACATCACTTAATGAAGAGAAATACATTTAATATACAAATGGAGCAACAACTTGATATTAGGCCTGCATCTGGACATAAAAAAAGAACTTCATTGAACAAAACCATGTATAAGAACACAAACATCCAAAGGAGACCACAGAATAATAAATACTCTCCAATTAGCATTTATTAAAAAGGGAAATAAATTTCTAAAACAATAAGAAAAAAGAAAAAACAGAGAAAGTTAAAGAACTACTTCTAGCACCTGTAGTTTTTTTTAGTAGGAAACATTACCTAGGCAGGAGAGCCTGCCGTGTCCCAGTGATAGGTAGTTCCAACTTAAGAGAATGGTAGCAAATCAGAGTTTTAGAGGAGAAAACTTTTCTCTTACTGTATTATTTTGTAGGGATTAAAGATTACACTCATAGTAAAGTTGTGGAGGGGCAAGGCCACACATGGGGTAGGAAGTATTTATAGGCATATTACTCTTCCAATCCAGTTACTTATTGGCTAGGAAGTATTTATAGGCATATTACTCTTCCAATCCAGTTACTTAAGAAGGGATGTGAAACAACTAGAGAGTTCGTTGTGCATAGGATAAGGAGGATGGGTACGGGTAGTTATGGGGGTGGAAGAAGTATATAAGATACAGCAAGAGTTGGAAGAGAGGTGGTTATCATTTTGTGATTAACTTTTCTCTCTATTAACCAGTGCTAAAGAACTTTCAAGTGCCTATCAAGATAGTTCTTGGAAAGATGCTTAGAATTTGGGCCATCAATTCAAATTTATTATATATTAATCCTTTATTTTTATCACCAAAGTTTGGAGTTCTCTTTGGTAAATGTTGCGAGTGTTGTACTTCCCCTTTGATTAGGCCCTTTCTTTTTGTGGGCCTACCTTTGCTTTGGACGTAGTTGAACTAGAGAGCACTTATATAATATTGTTGTTGCATAAGGCTGGCAGTTCTACCCTTCATCTGTACAAATTTATTGTCTACACAAAACCATGATTTATAGATTTCACACCCGGCAATGCAAAAGAAATCTTAATCCTTTAGGAATCCTAAGCAAAGCAACTGATTGTAACAAAGAGCAAGAAGTTAAATCTCTAACAAGAGCAATGTTAAATAATAGGGTGAATCATAATACCCACCTGCATATAAGCAACAGCCTCTGATACAGAAAATAGTGTATTGAGGAACTCCCATCGATTCTCCTTACGCAGGTCCACCAATTCCCTCCCATAAATCTCACTATGCACAGACCATTAGTATCAATAGAAAACTTGCCTATCGCTTTTTTTTTTGCAATGTGTAATATAGTCTATATTAACAAAAACATAGCAAGGCTAGTCTACCAAACTCAATCCTATGGGATAATTTGAGCATACAGTAGGAGAAGCACGAACAAAAGATTAATATAATGAGACATGCACACGGTAACACACGTTCTTTAAGGGGTGGTCTTAGTGGGAAAGGCTTGGTGTGTTTAGAAGAGACATCCCCCAAAGCCTTGGTTACCAAGCACCAGGTGGAAAACTTAATGGGTTTAAAACTTTTGTTCTCTCTTAGAGTGGTAGGTCATGAGTATAATAGGAGTGCGGCCATTAACACCCTGTTTAGAAGAAAAATGCACATAGCAACGCATAGGTTCTGGAAAGGAAGAATATGTATTTTGATATAAGCAAGTCAGGTTTTCCACAATATGTAATGAGCCATTATTCTATATTGTAACATAGTTATCATTCCCGAGCCAAGATTTTTGTTTTAAACTATTGACATTTGCATGTAAAATACAATATGGGAAGACACCAATTATAAGTTGGTGGAGCAAATTACCTATTTCTAAAAAAATGCAACATCAGAGAACAAAGACTTCCAATAAAACCTTAATACAAATAGAAATTTTTAAACTGTCGAAAAGCTGTACAATTCAAAGTATTTCTTGAAGTCCTTCATAAGATCCAGGAAATTATATAATTGCGATGATATGAAGTACACACTGGAATACATGCGTAAATGTATTTTATATCATCTGAGAGGCAAAAGGTGTAGTTTAAGCATGCAAAAAGGTAAAGCTAGCATCTTATTACAATTTAAAGGACTGAATGCATGCCTTTCATCAAACTAATAATTATCTTGCACAACAGGAGTTCAGAACAAAGTATACTTAAACATATACCTTACATCTCGAGTAGACAGCATGTTTGTTCCATGCATTGCTCTTTTTATATAACCAAAACGATCAGCCTTCACCAAGTTACCTCTCTCTTTGTCTATGACTAGGCCTCTAATAACCTATTAAATATCAAAGTGGCAGATGCAGAAACAATGGAAACACAAGATATAAGGATCAGAAACAAAGTCCACCACAACAGTTCTTAAGCTAGCTCAAAAAGTATTACCAAGTCTGGGTCAAAAGCAAGTCCATCAACAGGGAAACCCATGTTCCTTAAGTTTTCCATACAGTAGTCGTACGCTCTTCCCTCCCAAGCCTGAAGGAGTACAAGTTATTTTTCCAAAAATAATTAAAGGATGGACGGTCATTAATGTGAAAGGCAAAGGGCAGCTAATGAAAGAGTTAAGTTAGTATGCAATATGTCAGGGTCTTAATTTTATTGACCATCCTTCTTATAGGAAAGAGATCACTAGCTATAAAATTTCCCTAATCCTTTTCCCATGCTAACGGGGTGCAAAAATATTAGAGACAATTACCATGACATTATAATGCATCAATGTGTAGTCCATGTCATATCCAATGACACTGATCGATCGAAGATTCAATGTTCGGCTACAAAATATACCCTGTGGTGAATTTCTTGATGAAGGACTCTGCAAAAACATTTATGAGTGGAGAAAATAAGGCGTTGATGTTTGTCTAGCAATTTTTTTAAATTACAATAAAAAAAGATGAAGGGAAGGACAAAATAAACCATTTGGAAATAAAGAATAAAAAAAACATAAAGTTCATTAATATTCTTAAAACATAGTACAATAGCCTAAATCACGTTGTAAAGGTTAACATTCTCGAGGAACCAGTCATTTTTTCTTGCATACAACGAATTATAGAGCCCATGGAAGCAAAAAATTGAAGATTGATAGCGCTATGCATTGATTAAAGATGAAAATCCAATATTTCGTGCCTACCAAAACCATGCCTCGCTCTTTTTGAAGGAAGCGGCTGAATGAACTGTCTTTTCCTTATATGAATTAGGATAAACCAGCACAAAAATAAAGCATTTAAGGAATTAGCGATGGATAATCAACAATCTCCAAAAAGGGAACAAAGCACGGGACCTAGTATGGAACATATAAAGCATTAAAAACATATGATTATCATGCTTCAATCAGGTTGTTCTATTCCGCCCTTCTAGCCGAGCACATACAGTGGAGCAGTAGAGAGTCGAGTTAAATTCAATCCTCAAAGGCCAGCATACTGAAACTTCAGAAATGCAGAAAAGCATGATGGAACTATGTTGCTTGACCACTAACCGGGATTCCCAAATCACTAAGGAGATCCTCGGCTTCCTGTGCCTCTAATCTCGCAACTTCCTCAATTGGACCTTCTAGCGTTTCTTCACCATCTGCGCCTACATGAGAAAGGAAAACGCCACTTACACAAAAATAACCACGCTGAACCTCACAGAATTTGTCACCAATGGATGATACATGGACTGATTGTAAGTGCATAATGTAAGATACTGAAACTAAGTTCTTCAAATTCTTGTTAACTATCGGTCCAATCAACGGCGCAATACAAGAAACAAGTAGACTACACAATCAGTTTGAAGAAACACAAACTAATAAGACAAAAAATGACATTTCAATTGATCAAAGAGAGTTACCAAAAGCCTCAAGATGCTCGAGTTTGAGATTCATATCTCCTTTAGTGCTCTGTCCGAGATAATCAACTCCAGACTTCGCCGACGACGTCACAGAAAATACATCACCTCCAACACCTACTGATTTGGAGTCCATGGCGCACAAACACAGCGTCATCTTCCGAGCTGTGAGTGAAGTCAGTTGCGGTTTGCTTGTACAACCAAGTAACGCGACTCTTGTGAGCACAGGGTTCCCCAGATAAGCGGCCGCTGCCATTGTTGAAGGATTTCAGCGTCCTGCAGAAACGAAGACTTTCCTTTCCTTTCCTTTCTTTCTTTAGTTTGGCATGAAGAGATGAAGATAAAACACGTGCCGATATTGGATTGCTTGAAGACTTTTTTTTTTTTTTTTTTAATTTAATAAATTTTTATTAAATTATAAACCCATTCCAAAAATATTTAATTAGGTTTGTTCAATGTTCAACTATTTATTTAAATTTTTATTTTTACTAATTAAACAAAATCCTCAAACTCGGGTCACCTAGCTCGAAAACGAAATGCTGAGAGAAATTTCTTGATTGTCGAGCGAGCATATCGAGCAAAAGATCTCGATAGTTGAATAGAAATTTTGTCGGAGGGCAGTAATGAGAATGCACTGAGTGATGAAAGCAAAGAAATAATCGAGCTAGGGAACGCTCGAGATTTACTAAAGATTTCCTTAATTAAAAGCTTTAAATTGAATGTTTATGATAAATCAATATCGTTTAAAAGGACGGTTTTCCATTTAAATTCTGGATTTTCGAACCGAGAAAGATCGAAAATTCTTGCTATTTCAGCCCGTTTCATCTCATTTTCTCTCTATTTTCCTTGATTTTCTTTTCCTCCATTTTCTCCGAATTTTATTAAATTATGAATCCAATCTTAAAATATTAAATTAGGTTAGTTCGGAATGTTCGACTATTTATTTAAATTTATGTTTTTGCTAACTAAACAAAATTCTCAAACTCGGGTCACTTAGTCTGGAAACAAAACGCTTAGGAAAACTCCTTACTTGTCGAGCTAAACGAGTACGAGCATATTGAGCAAAAGATCTCGATAGTTAGACATAAATTTTGACGAGGGCAATAGTAGGGATGCACTGAGTGACGAAAGCAAAGAAATAATCGAGCTAGGGAACACTCGGGATTTACTAAAGACCTCCTTAATTAAAAGCTTAAAATTGAATAATACAATTTAAAAGGACGGTATTCCATTTAAATTCTGGATTTTCGAACCGGGAGAGAGCGAAAATTCTCGCTATTTCAACAATTTTCATCTTATTTTCTTCCTATTTTCCTTGATTTTCTTTTCCCTTTTTCTCCATTATATATATATATATATTTGTCATTTTTAAAAAAATAGAAAAGTTATAATACACGTGTCTCTCATTTCCTTTTTGTATTTTATTTATCTTTTTCAGTTACTTTTTATTTTTTCTGTTTCAAAAAAAATAAAAGTTCCCTTGTCTCTACGTTAAGCAAGTTGTATTTCTCTATTTTTAATTTAAAATTTAAAATTTATTTTATTTTAAGCTATTTTCATAAAAAATTCCAAAATAAAATAATAATAAATATACGGTATACATATGTCGAAATGTTAGAACCAAGTCTTACGAAGAAATACTTGAGAGAAATTTATTAGAATTCCTCGACCAAACAATACTTGTCAAAGAAAATTGGTTGATTCTTCGTGATTTTAATAGTCTGTAATACTTCATGCGTAGGGTACGAACCGAGATTCAAAATTTTGATTTAGGATCAGGTAATCCTAGCATTTTCCTATATCCGACATGGTCACGTTACTTAATTCTCACTTCGAAGAGTGAAGACTATTCTCATAGACGAAAGCAGGTTCTTTCAACATGCTTTCGATAACTCGATAATATATATATTTTATTAGTACATATATTTTAATACTTTTTTATAATTTTATTGAGAGAAAACATATTAAAAGATTTAAAATTGTAATACTTCTTAAATTTAAAATTAAAGTGGGAAGAATCTAATAAAATTAAAAAGCTAAAAAAAATTATTTTTTAAATAATGATAGAATAAATTATTAAAAATATCATTAAACTTAGCATTTTGTAAAAAAAAAAAATAATAATAAAAGAAAAACTTTTAATTTTTTTTTTACCATCTCGAAAAGAAAAATTTTAAAATATCCTTAAAACTAAAAAAAAAGATTATAAAATATATTTACGATTAATTTGTTATAAATAGTTTTTGCTTATAAAACACTCAACTTTTAAAAGGGTTTAAAAAAAAATTAAAAAATTTCAATTAATACCTTAAATTCATTTAAAAATTTAAAAAATAACTTTAAATATTTTTAAAAAAATTTCAAAAGCATATTTAAAATTTTTAAAATTTTTTAAAATATTCACATTTAAAAAAATAACCATGAAATTAAAAAAAAAAACATTAGTACCTTTAAATAAATATAATTTATGAGATATAAATAGATAATTTCATCTATTATTAATTTTTTTAATAAAAATTAAAAAATTTAAAATTTTATAGATATGTTTTTTTTTATAAATATAATAGAATATTATGTTTAAAGATATTATTAAATTTTGGAATATTATTTTTTTAAGACTAATTACAAAATTTAAAATATTATATTAATTTAGGAAAAAAAAAAAAAAAAAAGGCAGGTGAGGTCGGAGAGGGCGAGGATTTGAGGAACAGCAATCTCCACTGCACATTAATCCTACAACGATGCTTTCCTTTCTCAATTCATCAGACCCCACGTATTCTTCTCCATTGATCTCTTGCTCCCCTTCCCGTTTGCCTCCCACATTTCCGGCCACCGCCTCCGCCGCTGTTGCCGTCGCGGTTAATTTTAGAGCGGATCCTTCTCTTTCACGTGTTGCCGTCTCCAGTAGCAGCGGAACCAAATCAAGTAACCTTTTCTCAGATTCTACCTATCATGCTAAACATTTTCGGTCCAGATTCGGAAAGTATTATTCGAATTCCGACCCCGCGTTCTCAGATACTGATGACAATGACGATTACTCTGACGCTTCAGAATCTGAAACGATTTTTGAGGATGATGGAGGAGTAAGCATCCAAATCGAGAAGTTGGGTAACAATTCTCGCAGAATTTATTCGAGAATTGGTATTGATGCCTCACTTCAGGCCGTGTGGAATATCCTGACGGATTATGAGAAATTGGCTGATTTCATACCTGGTCTTGCTCTCAGCCAATTGATTTTTAAGACTGGCAACCATGCCCGACTCTTTCAGGTAGTTCTTATTCTTCTTCTTTACCACCCCTTTCCCTCCGTATGTTCTTCAGGAATTTGAACACATTTAACGATTTCTGGAGCGCTCGATTTCCATCTTTCTGTTTCTCTATACGCCATCTTGGTTATGAATATAACCCAAAAAGTTAGATATACTATAGCCCAGTTGAATGGTGTTCAATGGTGAGGATGGTTGGGAGGGAGTCACACGCTGGCTAATTTAGAGAATGATCATAGGTTTGTAAGTGAGGAATACTATTTCCATTGGTACGAGGTCTTTTGGAGAAGCCCAAAGCAAAGCCACGAGAGCTTATGCTCAAAGTGGATAATATCGTACCATTTTGTAGATTCGTGATTCATAGCATGGTATTAAAGTCATGCCCTTAACGTAGCCATGTCAATAGAATCCTCAAATATTGAACAAAATGTCAATAGAATCCTCAAATATTGAACAAAGAAGTTGTGAGCCTCAAAGGTATTGTCAAAAGTGACTCAAGTATTGAACAAAGGGTGTAATTTGTTCGAGAACTCCATAAAAACGAGTCGAGCCTCGATTAAGGGGAGACAGTTTGAGGGCTCTATAGGCCTCAGGGGAGGCTCTATAGTGTACTTTGTTCAAGGGGAGGATTGTTGGGAGGAAGTCCTACATTGGCTAATTTAGAGAATGATCATGAGTTTATAAGTGAGGAATACCATCTCCATTAGTATGAGGCTTTTTGGGGAAGCCCAAAGCAAAGTCACGAGGGCTTATGCTCAAAGTAGACAATATCATATCATTGTGAAGATTCTTGATTCTTAACCGTAAGTGTTTGAACTCAAGTATTATAACTAGATTCAAATTCAACATGGTCCGGTTATTTCCAACTGATATTAATGATTCTGTGCAGAATACCATGAATTATGTTAATTTAGTAAGCCATATTGTGAAGTGCGTGGTAAGAATTTATATTAATTTTCCATGTGAGGAGAGTGCTACTAGCCCACATTTCTAACGCCTTGGTGTCCGTAAGAACTATATTAGAACCCAAAAGTATATCCTATCCATTTCCTTCTTGGAAGATTTAACTTCGCTTCTCACCAGATGTTCTGAAGCCTGAATGTGTAGTTAGCTCTTCTTGAATGAATTAGGGAAGCTCCATTTTTTTAGGGGAAGAATCTCCTCTTTGACTCTTACATATGTTCTCATGAGACATCCACAAAAAGAAGTAATGTCTTTGGTTGACATTTATTTGGGCCTTCTTTTGGAAGTTGTGGGAAGAAAGCAATCACCAAAATTTTAGGGACAAGGAATTTACTTTTGATTGATTTCTTGATGCTATGGCATTTCTTATGGCTTCTTGGTGTCAATGCTCACTCATTTTTCTTCACTATAGCTTTTCCTCTTTACCATCCAATTAGAGAGGTTTTTCGTAACTCAATTGGATCAGGGTCATTCTCTTTTGTAATTTCATATTATCAATGAATTTGAAGGAATTTTTGGATATGGCTTACTGTACCACCCTTTCAAGAATGAAAAAGCTCTGTTATAAAAAAATTTCATCGTGACTTTCTTTTGGAATTTGTGGAAAGAAAGAAATCAGAGAATATTTGTAGAAAAGACACAAAGTTACACAAAACTTTTCGAAAATATTGTTTACCAAAGCTATATCTTGGTATAAACTGTCTAATATTTTTACTTCCTATAGTTATACCTCCCTCATTGCAAATTGGGAAAGTCTTTTGTAAATACCATGGATTATACATTCCTTTTATAAATTTCAATCATCAATGAAATTGTCGGTTAAAAAGATCCCTCATTTGTAAGCTCTCTCTCTTGGAACTATACTCAGCCCCTTGCCTGTCCCCAAGCAAATTACGTGGATGTAATGATGGATTTCACAGAGGGTCTCCCAAAATCGTATGGGTATGTTGAGGACAAGGTGACTAAATACAGACATATTCTCCCGGTGTTACTCTGTTTGCCAAAGAAATTGTGCGCTGCCATTGGTTTCCCAGACCCATTGTTTCCAACAGGGAAAAGGAGTTTGTCAGCTACTTTTTAATTGAATAATTC